GTGTGTGTGTGTGTGTCTGTGTGCAGAATGGGCAGGAAGAGGAGCAAGGAGACCAATGGGAGGCAACTGCAGTAGTCCAGGTGAGACAGGATGGGGCTGAACGAGAGGAAGAAGCAAGAAGTGGCCAGAATTGGGATACAAAGCCAACAGGACTGGGTGAGGAGGGGAGAGAGGGCGGGGGTATTGAGTACTAGTGTGAGGAGGGTACAATTTCTTTTCCTCTTTGCTCCTACGGCCCCCTGCCTGCATCCCCATCAGTCCACATGTGCCGAAACATTTTGACTTGCCTTTTTCCTCCACCAGATCGTGAGCAAGTCTAGGGCAGGGGCTGAGTCCAGTGCTGTTGTTTGACAGTCTGTTTTTTGTCCCCAGCGGCTACAATTTGTCTGGCTCAGAGCAGGGACTCTGGAAATGCTTGTTCCAAGAGTCTTGACTTTGCACATCTGAACTTTCTCCCTGGGAGGCGCTGGGGAGTGGTTGGGTGTCTCTGTGTCCACGAGCTTCTCACAGCTGGTTGCATGAGCATGTCTTCCCACCTCAGGGCCTTTGCACTGGCTGTTCCCTCCACCTGCAATGCTACTTCTCCAAGTGCCCTGCACAGCTGGCTCCTCCTCATCCTCCCAGTCTCCCTTTAAATGTCACCACCCTGGAGAGTCCTTCTCGTCTCTCTCCCCATCACAGAGTGGCCATGAGGGCAGGGGCCTACTCTGAGTTGCTCCCTGTGACAGCAGGTGTTGGCGGTGCTCACCCTGAGCCCCTCGGTGCCCACCTGCACGGCCTTGGAGACTTGCACTTGGCCAATTCAAGGATATGCCAGTGGTGCTGGGCTGGGGCCAGACTAGGGGGAGGCGAGGGAGACCGAGTTGTCCATATGCAGGGGCAGATCCAGTCTTTATTTAAAATTTGGACCCCTTGTCATCACAGATGTTTTGGCATTAATTTTGAGTTTTTAAATATTGCATTCAAATATGATTTATCTTGATTACTGCATGTTTTGGTGTTCCCTGAAATTCTGCACCCAAGGTGAGTGCCTCACTTGCCTCACCCTAGTCCCGCCCCTGCTCAGAGGTGGGGCCTAGGGATCTATATTGTGAAATTAGCCTTCCCAACCACCCCCTCCACCTTTGAGTCTAATAGAAGCACTGAGCTAAATCAGATGGAGGATAACCACTCTTCCAAACAAAATCACAAAACCAAGTGGAAGTCTGTTTGCTGTACCCCTAGAGAAGTCACTCTCACGCCGCCTCCTGGCTGTATGGGGTTAGTGGCCCGTACAGGGGTCAAAGGAAGGTCCCATTAGGGTGGGAGCAAGGACTCGCCCCCCCCCCCCCCCCCCACCCCCGCCCAGAACAGCCCCTCTTCTGTCTGCTTCATAGCCAGGCTTTCTGCATCAGACTTCATGTGAAAAATAGGTTCCATTGCTAAAAAGGGTGGACTAGCCACCATCTTAAAATTGTTCATGGTCCTAGAATCTGCTTGTTAGGTGTTCTGAGGCCTCCTCGCTGCTTCTTTCTTTCCTTTTTTAATCAGACCTTTTAATACCATATTTTCTAACTTTGAAAATAAGTATTTTTCTCACTTTTTTACATTCCTGAAAGCGAAGTGCATCTTATAATTGACGTCAAGAAACTTTTCAGCTAATGGAACATCTAACAATCATAGTCAATTAGAATAGAGGGAAAAATATGCAGTTCAAGGTCATTCCTGAAGTTCCCAAGGTGAACATCACCTAGGGCGGTCTAACCTTTCCTGTGAAGCCCCCAGATACCGGGGGACGGGGTGGGGGATTTTTCTGGCTTGTCATTGGAAGGACTTAACGTAACTTGGTTACTGCCCTTTTAACCACGCTGATTTATGGGGAAGGAAACTTTGGGGCCAACTCCTTGCTTATTAATTAGGGGCAAGGGCCCAGCAGTCCTACTCAGGGTGTGAGGGTCAGTATCGGGAGCTCCTCTGCCCCTTCAGTGAGGTCTGCGAGGTGCCCAAGTCCAGGTCTCTGCCTCAGCTGCCAGGACAGGTCAGAATCTGCCCATGAAGATGCCAAGAACCTGCTGGCGCTTAGGGACTTCTCTCCTCTGCACAGCCCCAGCCCAGTCCTCAGCATGGTGGGTGGGGCGCGAGGCTCCCCCCTCCTCCCTGTCTCCCTCCTCCACCCCAAAAGGAATTTTCTTCCCATTCCCCTGAGTATTAAAGGGCTCCACTTCACACTTCTTTCGGTGCGTTTAGCATTTTCAGTTGCCTCCTGCCTCTGAGAGTCACTGTGGGGGGAAAGGCCATTCCACAAATCTAAGTTATGACTGTGACGAGGGCCATGCCCGCCTGACGCTATGACACCCACTGGGCTGGGGAAGGGAGAGATAATTAGTTGGAAAACTTACTTTTCAGGCATGAGTCACTGGAAGCAGGTGTCAGGGGCGCTTTTAATGAGGCCCTCGTGACTCGGATGGTATTTCCACTCTGCATCACCGGGTGGATACCATGCTGAGATAACCACAGCTCCCTGTGTGGAAGAGGGGGAGAAAGATGGGGGAGG